CCTGCTGAGGAATAGCAGGTTAGGGTGTGTCTGGAAGTGGTCAGCCTATAACAGAGCAAGAACTCCAGCTGTGAGGGGCTTATAGTGCCATGCCCCACCCCCAGATTTGCTCGGTAGGCAGCTGTGTGTGTCTGTTGTCTGCTCATGAGCCTGGCACTGATCTCTCTGCACAGGAGGCCACAGGTCTCACTGTTACCCTTTATTTCTCTTTTGGTGGAATAAATGAATCTTTGGACCTTTTCCATCAGTCAGTGAACACACAGGGGTTACGAGTGCACAGGCGTGGCCTTGCAGGGGATGGACAGTCATCATGGTGACAACCCTCTGAGTGAGCTGTTCTGAGCTCTCCCTGTGTGTCTTGACTATGCTTCACAGCAGCTTTGTGACAGAAGATGCTATTATTACACCCGTATCACAGATAAGGACAGTCGCCTGCGTGCCCTCATAGAGTTAAATGTTATCTCCTAGTCTGAGCATTAGTTGAGCAAGCATAGTTTCAGCCTCCCAGAAGGCCGGCCGGCTGTCCAGGGACCCTGTCCCCATTCACAGCCCTCACCTGACCCCAGCTTCTCTCCTAATCGTTTTCCGGCGAAGTCTTTCCTTTCCTTCCCTGGGAAGTCCATGCACCATCACCCACCCCATCCCCAATGCCCCCTCCCCGCTGCTCACTCAGCTTTCACCTCCCTTTCTCTCAGGGCCCCCGAAGGAGGGTGAAGTGTTTTTACTCCTGTCTCTGCCAGGTGGGCTTAAATAGGCAATCACAGCAAGACAATTAAAAAAAATCCAGAGGGAGCCTCCCTCCTTCCCCCTCCCTTTCCTCCTTTAATTTGTTTCCTTTATAGGAGCCTGGGGGAGCTGGTGCGGCAGAGGCTGCTCAGGAGGGCTGCCAGGGAGCTCTCATCTGGAAACAGGGCAGGCCACCCCTCCCCCTCCCCACGGGCTGCAGGGACTGCTCTGGTCCAGGGGTTCTGCTCCCCATGCCCACCTGGGTTTCTTCCTGCTCATCCTAGGGAATTTCCTGTAGGTTTGAGGTCAGGCCGTGCAGACATCACCTGAGCCTTGCTGCAGGCTGCTTCCCTTCTCACATCTAGCTTGCCCCGGCCTCCTGGTGAAATGCAGAGCACCTGGGAAGGACAGGACCGCGTTCCCATGCCACGTTCTCCATGCATTTCTGTGCTGGGGGGCAGCTTCCTTCATTCACCGCAGACAGGCCAGTGCACGGCAAGGTTAGGGAGGTGTCGCAGGACGGACCCCTGGCACTTCTCTCCTGGCCTCCAGCATTCCCATCTTGTCTCTGTCGCTGAAACTTGAGCAGGAGAGACAAGGAGGCCACACAGGTTCGCGCAAAGTCAGCTGGTTCTCACTGGCACCGAAATAATAATGCAAAATCTTACAAGAGTTACCCTTCCTACCTGCACCTGCTCACTTAAAATGCCTACAGATGCAGCCAGGAACCCGAGCCGGGAATTGCAGTGACCTTCTCTGGAGGGGGATTCTATTCAGCAGGCCTCCTTGGCAGGCAGCTTCTTCTGGGGGGATGCCGCCTGAGCCTGCCCTTCCTCCCTGGGCCTTGTCCTCCCCTCCCGGAGCCCCCAGAATAGTTCTACCCTGTGGTTCTGTCCCCCACCCCCAATCTGCCACCATCTTCCTGGCCTTTCACTCAGTCCATTAACAAGTAGCTATTGAACATCTCCCCGCCCCCCCCCCCCCCCCCCCCCCCTGCCATCATTGTCTTCCTTTAAAGCACTGCTGGTTTGTATGTAACTCCCATCCCGGAGAAGGAGGACCTCCTTCCACCGGCCCCAGCGTCATCTCCCCCCCCCCACGCACATCGTCATTGTCAGCTCCCGCTTTCCACTTGCCGATGAAATTAGCCTCGCGTTAGATTTGGGACACAGCCCGGCATTGGGGGTTTGGAAGAGTCTTGGATTTGCCACTTACCAGCTTGTGATTCTGGGGGATCCACTTAAGGCTTCTGGGCATAGAAGGGACACCGTTCCCCCGTGGAGGCTGGAGTCATGTGAGATGATGGCGGTGGTGATGGCCCTCATTAATACATTCCCGTCCTGTGGGCCGCTGACATCCTTACAAGTGGGACCCGTGGATTGCTGTGCAGACAGCGGGTCCCACACTTGGCCTGGCAAGCAGGCCTCCCCCAGGCCCAGAGGTGCCTGAAGCAGCCTCCTCCCAGATGCAGGGATCTGGCCGGGCCTGAGGCCCTTCTGCCCTCTCTTCCTCCAGAGACAGCCACAGCCTCGCCTTCGCAATGACATCTTTCACCTTAGCTCCCCAGCTGTGACCTCAGCAGACCCGAGGTTCCGCCCAGCCCGGCTCCCAGGCCAAGTCTGACGCCCACTTGTCCCTTCCAACCCAGCCAACTTGCCAGCCTCCTTCTCCCAGTCTGGCCCTGGGAGCCCCATGCTTTCAGCCAGACTCTGAACCCTTTCTTTCCTGCAGCCTGGAGGTCCCCTGGGATGCCAGGACCCACCTGCTACCTGCAGTTACCACCGCTCTGGGGCCTCAGCTGCAGACAGACTGCAGGCTTCCGTCCTGTGCCTAAGTCCCTACTGCCTGGCACCTGCCTCAGAACCGGGCATCTACCTTCTTCCTCCTTGTTCCCGAGGAGCTTGGCAAGGCCTGGGCGGACTTGACTGGCAGGCCGGCGGCGCCCAGCTGGCCCCGCCTCCAGGCCCACGTCCCCTCCTCCCCCTGTCCACCTAGCTCCTTGCCCTTGTCTGGCTCAGGTCAATCAGTGTCAGCAGGTGCCACACCTGTGTCTGCTGGACTACCACCTTTTCTGGACACAAAGGATCTAAATGACACAAGGCAAGCCCCCCGCCCCGCCCCCCCCATGTCAGGGGAACACAGCAAGACAACGAGACAGAAACAGAAGTGCAAGACAGAACAGTCTCGAAGCTCCTTGGGTGCCCTGCCAGGCCAGTCCTGCGGCCATTCTCAGAACATTCTCAGAAACAATGCCTTCCCCCTCCTTTGGGACTTTCTGTCCCATGTCTGGAAAAATCTTCCAGCTGGGGTCATGGCAGAGTCACAGAGCAGCTAAGAAAATGTAAACAAATTTGGTCTTCTTTTTGGAATCCCTCGTGACTGCTCCTGTGAGGATATGTATTGGAGAGTCAGAATATTAAAACATCAAAGGGCATCGTTTGGGGACAGTTTTTCTTGGCTGGTTTCCATGTGAGTAGAAAGCCGATTGTGGCCAAGGAGGCAGAGGGACAGAGGAGTTTACTGAAGGCTTGGGCATCTGGAAGCAGGTTTCTTCCAATATTTCATTGCTGCTCATGCTTTGGAGGCTCTCAATTCCAATAACCTTTCCTTTTCCTTCCTGAAAAATTTATTTCTGGCTCTGGCTTTGGTCCTCCTCCCTGGGGAGGATCCAGACGGAAAGCAGGGGGCGCTGTCGGCACCCCACCATCCACCTTTGTCTCCCCGCTCTGTCTCCCCTGCCCTGCCCCGCCCCCAAGCATGCTTCTCCTTCTGCCTTCCCTCGTTCTGTTTCATCATGCGTGTGGGAAAGTTGTGGTTTTGTCTTGCCATGTGACTGGGGATCCTTCTGTGTGATCAAGTGTTGTCATGTATTTTTGGACTTGGGCCACTTCTCAGTTCCCCACTCATCCTCCCGTACAGAGGCTGTGATTTCTTTTTCTTTTTGTTGATAATTCGTATGCATTTGTGCTTGACCGTAACAGACCATGGGGACTGGTGCTCTGGCCCACCTTGGGGTCACCTGAGGACAGCTTTCCTAGCCTCTGCCTGCAGGTGTTCTCTGGAATGGGCAGATGTCCCAGGAAATTAATGCCTCGGGAGTGGCCTCCATCCCTGAGGACAAATGCCCGGCTTCCTTGCCCCTCATAGAGCAATATGGGCTGTGCGTATATGGTGTGTCAGGTCCCCACGTGCCGTGACAGTAACCTGCTCATCAATGCAGCCTTCCTTGGCTTTCAGCTCTTCTCTGTTTCTTGTCCCTGCTCTCTCGCTCTATTTCCTGGGATTACTTCCCAAATGAACGACTTGCACCCAAAAGCTTACAGGGTCTGCTTTTGAAGCAATTGAAATGCAGTCAAGGACTCGCTAAAGCATGACTTACCCTCTTTTGCCTTTAGTAGCTGCAGGTCTTATTTGAGCCACTGGCACCTTGGACTGGAAAACACCCAATCACTTCCTGTCCCAACCCCCCAGCTCTAATCCATTGCTTGATTTCCCTCCTTTACAAACCTTCTGTGCTGTCTGCATGACCCAATTCCTAAAATGTGTATCTGAAAGTCACGAAATAGTCTAGGGATTGCTAGCTCCATATACCAAGACCTAATTTCTCCTGCGAAAGCACTTACTGGCTGGATTGTAGATGGCTTCCTGAGTCAGGTAAGTGGACCCAGAAAGGTAATTTGGGCTGAGGATGATGAACAGGCCAGCGGTGCTTGTTGAAGATCCAGGTGGCCGTTTGTGAGGATGGGGACCCCTCCTTCCTAATTGGCTCTACCCCATGGATAGCTTGAAATGGCCTCCCTGTCGGCTTCACCGTTGCTGAGGACAAAGTCTGTGGCCCAGCAATGCTCCCCAGAGGTCTCTGCTGGTGCTTGCTCAGCTGGGGCTGTGGAAAGCCTTCCTTTGTCCCAGAATACAGTCGCCCTGTGAGATAATTTGAGGTGCTACGTGGATGGACATTTTTGGTGTGAACGTGCCTCATCTTTCGCTCCTGTTTACGGCAAACGGTAGTGTTTCCCCTTATGGTCGTGAAGCAAAGTTTTCTGTTTAAATGCACTTATTTAGATAAAGCAGAGTGAGTCCATTTTAAAAAGTAATGTACTCGGATACTGGAAAAATTGTGAAATACTGAAATATGGGATGCAGTGTCCCAGAATATGAGTCTAGGCGAGGTATCTCCTGCAAGGAGCGTGGATGTCCTTTGTCCTTTTTGCTAATGTCAGCCATTGTTTATGACCTTTAAAATATTTGTTTGGAAGAAGGGTGGGGACTTTCTTATTATCCAAATAGATATTTTTGGAAACCAAAGCATATTCCTGACTAGCCCATGTAAGCAAAGCTTTTTAAGCTGGGTGAACTCTGATTGCTTGACTAAATGAGTAATGCAAAAATAGACCTCCAGACGTCGATTGAAATTCCAGGTATTTGCTTCCGGAGGCTGACACTGCTCACTCATGGCCAATACCGTGTGTCGCAGGAGGCGAGGGTCAGCTGCCGGCTGTAGTGAGTATTGATTTTTAAAGAACTGAGCTATAAATGAAGGCACGGGAAGCAGAGCCTCACTCTCAGGGCCTGCTTGGCTGTTTGAGCGACCTACCACTCCAGGCAGGAACCTGCATTTACTGGAACGTACTTATTTTTACATATCAATGATGTATTTTTGATGTACTTGATTAAATATTATGGGTCTGGCCCCAGGAAACACCACTGCAGTTTATAAATAGTCAGTTCAGGGATGTACAAGGTTCCAGGAATTACAGCAGTATTTTTGTCTTTGTGTGCCTCTGTGCATTTACTTTTTTTTTTTTAAGACCAGCTCTCGCCCCCAAATATGTCTGCTTTTTCTTCTAAAACACACCTTTGTATGAATTTCTAGAAATGTCTACTGTGTCCTTCTCACCTAACCGTACAAATGAATCCCAGCTAACAGCTATTCATCATATGCCAGATTCAAAACCTAAGTCCTGTCGACTGAAACATGCACAACATGAGAGTTGCTAGTTAGTTTTATTTGGGGCAAAATGAGGACTCTAGCCTGGGGGACAGCATTTCAGATAGTTCTGAGAAACTGCTCCAGAGAGCAGAAGGGCAGTGTTAGACATGATTTTAGTGAAGGGGGGCGTGCAGTGGAGCACACATGTTGGCAGAGGCTGGCTGCTAGTCACGAGAGCAGATGTCACTGTTAATGATTTTAGTGCTTTTCTAGATACGAGGAGATGCAAGAATTGGGCTCATAATGTCTTCTCCTGAAAATATCTGACTATCCAAGGGCTTGATCTGCCGGTTTTTCTCAGAGCACAGAGGGCCTCCTTCCTGATCTCCACCCTGAACGCCTTTCAGGGTGTGTTGAGGTCTGTGGCTGCAGTGGCTAGTGACCTCATCCTTGTAGAGGCAGATGGCAAGTGCCACTTTTTTGTTGGCAGTCACCTTAGGACTCAACCTTTGAGGTCCATGTCACTTTTAAGGCACCCTAACTTACTGCTTAGAATTGGGGGTTTTTTTGTTTGTTTTTTAAATTAAAAGAAATTCTTTTTGGCCACACCACGTGGCACGCGGGATCTTAGTTCCCCGGCCAGGGGTCAAACCCGTGCCCCCTGCAGTGGATGCACGGAGTCTTAACCACTGGACCACCAGGGAAGTCCCCGGAATCAGGTCTTATTATTAGGTAACAGTGCAACCTAACAGAACTTTGGCCTTTGATATCGCTTCTTCAGGCTTCTGAGAGATCCCGTCAGGCCCAGTGAGGCAGTATGTCCCCATCTGACCTCTTCTCTCCCTACTCTCTTTACAAATCCCAACAGAAATGGAGATTTTCGCCCTTTTCAACAAACCGAAGAGCCGTCAGAAGTGCCGGCAATATTATCCCGTCACCATTCCCCTCCGGGTCTCCAGGAATGGCCAGACGGTGAGCAGTTTGGATGCCAATTGGCTGGAGCACATGAGCGACCACTTCCGGAAGGGCGGCGTCCTGGTGAACTCCGTCTTCTCCCTCGGCTTGGTCAACGGTAGGGAAGGCACAGCCCACCCCTCGGGGGGCCCTTATGAACTCTGCTGCTTCCTCTTCCTCAGAGCCTGCTCTGTTCCGAAAGCTCTGTGGCGGGTCAGCGTGCTACGTCTGATTTCTGATGAACACATCTAGAGGAATCTTCCATAAAGCTCACCACCCATGTTCTGCCGACCCCCGCAGGAGTCAGCCAGGTCTATTCTAACATGACAGAGAAGGGGGAGCAATTCTGTTTCATTGATGGTGGCCTCGATCTAGGTTGCTTTTAAAACCTTTTCAAAAGGTTTTCCCAGGGTTTGTTAATTACCCCCCAGGATCATGCCACTCCGAAAGTACACATTGTTTGTAGACACCATTACAGTTTGAAGCGACAATAGCAGTACCTTGGAATTAACTGCAGAGAAGTGAATTGGTTTCTGTAAGCTCCATGGGGATACACACTGCTCCTGGGTCTCTCGGCACCCGGTGGCCCTGCCAGTAATGGGTTCTCTCTGGGGGGGGTTGCTGCATGGGTAGCGCTATTGGTGTCAGCTTTTCTGAGGCAGAGAGAAAGTTTGCCCAAAGCGGGGAGACGTGTCACAGGCAAAGAAAGGGTTTTCAAGTTAACACGAAGGCAAGTTGAGTTGCTAGGGGCATCGAAACCGGGAGACAGTTTGGGGAGTAGGGCCAACCTGCCAGCATGTGTGCATGCTGAGGGCTGCCAGCCAGCAGGATCCCGAAGTAAGTGAAACGTAAAGTTAACACCAAATCCGATGATCCCAGCAAAACGTGGCAGGGGGCGCTGGCAGCCCTGCGTCTTGGTCGTTGAGCAGTTTTCTCTCTAAAAATTAGCAGCGTCAGGAACAGAGTTTGGATACTATATTACTTGCGACCCTTGAGATGCTAACAAGCATCCTTGGAAGAGACATCAGTCTTAATTCTGAATGTACGTACATGCAATCATCCAAAACCTTAGAACATTGTACAGTGCAAGTCCCTTGTCCCTATCTTAGTAGCAATATCTAATGTTAATATGTTCATATAGTAGCAGCAGGCATTGTACGGTATCGTGGGCCACGACTATTTGTGGATGGGTGAAGGACATAAGAAAGGTGACGGGCGGTCTAGTAGAACTCGCTGTGTCGACGGGGCTGTTCAGTATGTGTGCTGTCCAGTATGGTAGCCACCAGCCATCGGTGGCCACTGACCACTGGAGATGTGGTAAGTATGACTGAGGAACTTAATTTTTATTTTATTTAATTTTCATTAATTTAAATATCAGTAGCCACGTGCAGCTCATAGCTAGTGTATTGGACAGTGCAGTTCTAGAGTATATTTTCATTAATACAACTAAGGAAGAGTCAGTTCCATTCCCTGGCGGCAAGGTCAGTAAACTCCCTCTGCTCCAGGAGGCTTTCCCTGGGTGCCTGCAGAGTTCCTGGAAGCCAGGGGTCGTCCCAGCCTATTGAAGGTGCACCATCCAACACCAGGGTGTGTGCTAGGGCCAGATGTTTACAGCCCTCATCATTAGCATTAGGGGGGGCCAGGGAGGAACCCTCCACTCCCTGCTTCCTGCAGGGACACCCCGTTGCCCGTCTTCGGGTGTGGCAACAACAGCTCCTTTTATCTCCTCTTGGGCCCAGAGGGGCTCCCTGTGACTGTGCATATCTCCCTGGGAAACTGATGTTAGTTGCACTAACATCTTAAAGATAGGTAGGGAGGCGCTGGACATGGCAGCCACCGAGGCAGCCACGGGTCATGTCCCCACCTTGGGAGAACTGGGGTTTCAAAGGGGAAGTTTTCTCTCTTGCCTGCGGGTGTCAGAGGCGAGCTGAGCCCCAAGAGAGGACACCTTGAACTTGAAAGTTCACACTGCCGTTCGTTGTCTGTCTAGCCATTCTGCCTTTGGCAACCAAGGCTCTGTTACCACCTCCACTCCTCCCCCAACCCCGTTCTCCAACCTTGAGTCCAAAAACACAGATAATGTATACAGTCTTGCTTCAGATTTGACTAAAGTGTTGGAAATGCTGTTATATCCCCGCTTGGCTTTAGCTGCATGAAATCCAGCCTTCCTGCCTTGAAGACAGAACATGAAATTTTCCCTGGCAAGTGCAGCCGAGCAGCCTGCGCTGAGCCTGTGACGTCTCCACAGCAGGGCTGCCCACACGTCGGGCTGCCCCATGACTGCACATCCCTGTCCCGGTGACGGCTGCAAAATCCTCAGAACAAAATGCATCTGAACCCACTCAAAATTCAAATGTGATTTCACCCTGACATTTCTGATAGGAGGGAGCGTGTGACCTGGGAGAAGGGCTTACTGGGTTAGCGTGTTTCTGCTCTAGGAAAGCTCAGGCTTTCCGTTGACAGAGAGGAAACGCATATGTTCTTTTCCCAGAATTAAAAAAAAAAAAAAAAAGCAAGCTAATCATCATTATAAAAAGAACCTATTTCTAGTAGGATAATTAGTGTCCTTACAAATAAACCTGGCAGAGCTAGGAGCACATCTTTAAGCTGTTTGCCATCTGGAAAAGCATCAGTCTTCTTAACTAGACATTTGTGCTTCAGAATATTTTCCACAGGGTCATAAAATGCATGAGAACTTTGTCCCATAAGCAAGGTGATGTTTAGCCCGAATAATCCAGTTAAGACTCCATCTTCTGTTTTTGAATCTTTACCTCCCAGGACATGGAAAAGCTTGTTCCATCCTCGAGTTGGGCTTCTGCTCGTGGCCTCCTGGGTGTCCCTCCTGAGAATGCCCAGGTGTCCTGGGCTGGGGAGGCTGTGGCCTTGGGGTCTGGTAAACTTCAGGCATAGGTGAAAGGGCAGCAGAATGATGGTAACATGCCCCTAGCGGCTCCTGTGTGCTGGTCCTCGGCCAAGCAGCTCACACAGCAACTCCTCTGATCCCCATGGCTGAGTGGGGTGGGTACTGTCGTTACGTCTGTGGAGACCGAGACACAGAGCACTGAAGTCATTGCCACAGTGCCCAGCTGCTAAGTGGCAAGAAAGTGGTTGAAAGAAAGAAGAGTGTGGGTGGGGAAAAGGGACTCGAGGAGAGAAAAGAGGTTTGAGGTTTGAAAAGAGGTTGAGGCCCCCAGCTGGGCCCCTGGGGAGGGGAGAGCTGAAAGTCACCCTTAGGGAAGTAGCAGGACCTGGTGGCAGCCGTCAGCGGGGCTGAGCCCAGGGGATACTCAGACAGCAGGATGGATGGACGTGCGGAAACCCTGCAGCCAGTGAGACGAAAGCCAGAATCTATGCTTCCCAAGGGTGGGAAAGGCCGGGCAGGGAGACCCTCTGCTGAGCTGGCTGCCGCCGAGGACTCGGGTGGGTACCCAGACTCTGGGGTAAGGGTGAGGAGGAGCTGGCTGCCCACCTTCTAAAGCTTGTTTTCCCACTAAGGGTTTCCAGGCCTGCAGAGTCCCTGCTGCCATCACTGGCCACCACCGGCTGTCTTTGCCCTGCTCTCACCCTGCTTGTCCCCCTGGCCCCGTCCTTGCTCTGCATCCCTCTTGGTCTACCCTTTGCCCCCCCACCTCCTTTCCCCACCTTGCTCTGCCCTTGACCTTGCCCTTGGCCCTGTCCTAGCCCTCCCCCTCCCTCTCCCTGCCCCCTGGCCCTCCCCCTCCCCTCGGCCCACCCTCACCCTCTCCTAGCCGGGCAGTCCTTCCGCCTCTGGCAGCATCATCTCTATTCACCCCATGTTCACAGGTCTTCCATTGTTGCCGAAATGTCCTTTGCAGCAAGTAGCGCAAACCAGAATCCAGTCCAGCAACAGACGCTGCATATGGTGACCACGTCCTTACTGCTCCTTTACCTGGAAGAGTCGTTCTTCATGACCCTGACTGCTTGAAATAAACCTAGCCTCTTAGAATGCCCTGTGTTCTGGATTTGCCCGGCCAGTGCCTCATAATGTTATCTTGTTTCTCCAGCCTCTGTTTCCTATAAACTGGAATTTGGTTCTAAGGCCTCGATAAATTAAGCCCTTAGGTCTAGGATACGTTCCAGATGCTGTTGTGTTTGACGAGCTGTGTCACATCAGGAGACACGTTGTACCTAGGAGTCCCTCCTTTCCTAGGTTTTCCTTAAGACTCTCTCTGATGCCCCAGCTTCACGTCAATCCAAATAACATTTGGTATTTAGACCGCATTTTTGATGCCTGGCATAAACCAGATTAACTTGTATTTGCAAAATACATAGGTAAAAAGCATGTACGTATTTTAAATAAAATACACGTAGGGACACATATTTTAGGCAGACATGTTTGCAGGCCCTTGAGCAGGGCCTGCTTCCTATGCTTCTTAGTGTCCCAGTGTCTGTCCACCGTGCACTGTATACAGGAGGTGACCAATAAAGGTTTCCGGATGCTGCACAGTAATGCGTAGTGCTGGGGGGAGCTGGTGTTGGGGTGTGCATCACCAGGCCCCTGCAGACTGGGGGAGCAAGGGAGGATGAGGTTGCAGGAAGTTCACGGCCACTCCCTTGTCTGACTGCAGGCTCCAGGCACGTTGGCCTAGTGGTTGCAGGCGTGGCTTCTATTTCAGAGGAGCTGCTGAATAACATAAGGGGTAAATTTCACTTACACCGTGAAATGCATTTTCTCTTCTATCCATGGCACATCTTTTAAGTAAATTTTTTCCTGCAGTATAGCACACGTACAGAAACCAAGACAGATCCTAAGGGTCCAGCTCAGTGGGTTTTCACAAGGCGAGCACACCCATGTAACCAGCACCAGATCAAGAAACAGAGCATCCCAGCCCCATCAGAGTCCCACTCACGACCTCACAATGCCTCTCCCCCAGGGCGACCACAGTCCTGACTGGAAGCATCACAGGTGGGGCGTGAACTTTATGTGGGTGGAGTCTGCCCTTGTTTGGCTTCTTTCCGTTTGACTTCTCCCTGTGAGATTCATCCACATTTTTACACGTCACTGCAGATCATTTTTTCTCGCTGCTGTATGCTGTCCCTTGTGTTGATAGATACAGCTTATCCATTTACACACATATTTTTGTTCTTTCTTTACCCCATGCAGGAAGGCGTGGCCTCTGCACAGATTTGGCCCCAAACAGAAGCCGTAAGGCCATCTCACTGCAACCCCACTGAGATGCACACAAAACACAAGGGCAGGGAGAGCAGTCTAGTGGTCAGAGCACGCCTGCTCCATAAGGCTGGGCGCCTAGGCTGCTCATCCCCCGGCTGGAGCACAGCCCCTGGCACATCCTCGTGGTAGCAAAATATCTGTCACCTGTTGAAAGAGCATAGGCTTTGGAGTCACACAAACTACATTTCAGGTCGAGATAGGCCCCTGTATGCACTTGAATGTGGACAAATGGTTTCACGCCTGTAGCTTCCTTCCATCTTCTCACCACTTAAAGGGAATGATAACCTTGCAGAACTTGCGACGGGGGGAGGCATTCAATGAGAAGCCATGAATGTGCCTGGCAGAGGGCCTCATAGCTGGCAAGCACAGAATCAGGGCGTTTCCTCCCCATCTGGTCACCTGGTCTGATAAAGGACACTGAAGGCATTTAAACCATCCTAGCTTGTAAAAGGAGAACAGTAAGGTTTTCTAGTAGACCACATGCATCGACCCCTTATGTCGATGGCGTGTGCATTTCATGCTGGACTTGGGAGAGGTGCAGCACCTAGGGTGAGCCTGAAGGGTAGCTTGCTAGATGGAGTCTTCGTGTCCCAGAGGCTGCAGGGGAAGAGCAGTTTTCTCATAGAATTTACCTCTTGGGCTAATAGGGCAAATCTCCTTTTCTCACATCCTTCTTGTAAAGCATAAGCTTGGAAAGTTAAGGTGTCCTTTTGCCAAAAGACCGGCATCAAATATTTATACAATGCCAGGGTAAATAGCTTTCTGTGCACAGTAGGGAGGCATCTTTACTTTAATAAAAAATGCAGTGATAATGGAATGTTTTCCATAGATGGAGGATGATTTAACCTTTTTGCATGGGGAGCTGCACTCTGAGAGAGACCTATTTATACCAGCTCGGAGCACACTACAGCGAGGCTGAGCTAGGAAGGTGATGAAGAGACGGGTGGTGGATGAGGCCGTCAAAACAAGGGGCTCTTTAATGACAGCTGTCTGCTGTCTGTGGTTCATTGACTTTTTTGCTGTTACAGATGACCACATTTTGACAGCCTTTCTGAACTTGCTGTGTAGTGAAGTGGGTGAATCAGCACTCTGGATTCAGAAGAGTAGAGCAGCGGGCTGAGACGCTGCAGGCAGGACTGAGTTAGGAGGATGGTAAATAAGGACCTGGCTTGTTCCTGCTTCACGCCCCCAAGCCTGGACCACACAGCCCTCCTCCCAGGCTTGTGACGTGGAGCGAAGGAGGGGATGCCAGGCAGGGGGTAGGAAAGAAAGTTGGATGGGCTGCACTGTCTCCTTCCCCAGGTGGACCTCAACTCTATCTATATCATGCTGAGCACTCTAATACTTAGAGCATGTGGTAGGCACATTTAAAGGGCTTCGAGTCTTACCAGTAAGGAGATCTGTAGGTAGAGACTTTGGAAATTGGGTCTAACATATTTTTGTGGAAGCCTTAAAGAAATGTGTGCTGTGATCATATGCTACTGAAGGATCAGTGAGTATCTTCTGGTCCCAAGCATCACCAGGTCAGGACTTGGGAAAGCTTTATTCAAAGGGGTTCCGTAGGGCATCCCTACTGTGGCAGGGGCTCCAGCTGGACCTGTGTTACCCAGAACTTGGTAAGTGAGCTGGACTATGGTCCGTGCTTGTCCTGGAGCCCAAAATATTTAAATGTGGTTCAGCCAGAGAGCAGTTCTGTCTTTCCTCGGTCACCTTAGTAAAATGTCTTTTAGGAGGACATTGAACAAACACTTGGGGGGAACTTTTTAGCAGAGCGGATGAGAGAGGCAAGCTTAGCACTTTTGCCAGGGCTGATTGGTAACAGACTCTCGGTATAGGAAACAAATACAAAAATGGAGCATAGTATTGATTAACCCACAGGGATCTTATTTGAAATGGAATTTTGTCTTGTCCGTAGGAAGAATATCAGGATGAGGCTGCTGTGCTCCAGGAATTCCCCTCAGAGCTGTGGTTTGTTGAGTTGGTCAGGCCCCTCTATCATTCTGGAATAATCAGGAATATTCCCCAGGCTAAGTGAAGTACACTGGTCTCAGATTTCTTAAGTTTCAATTGGGCATTGTAACAGTCAGATATTGCCAAGATGATGCTGTGTAACAAACCACTCCAGAGCTCACTGGCTTAAAACAGTAATAATTTATTCTCTCATATTTGTAGGTTGCCTGGAGCAGCTTCTTTGAGGCAGCTGGGCCCACTCTCAGGTCTGTGGATCAGCTGATCTAGGCTAAGCTCCACCGGGGCAGCTCTGTTCCAACAGGCTAGCTGGGGCATGTGCTCTCAAAGTGGTGGCACAGATGTGAGATCAAGTTCAACCACGCCAGTGCTTTGCAAGCCCCTGCTTGTGTCACACCCACTAAGATCCCACTGGCCAAGCGAGTCACGTGGATAAGCCCCTGGTTGGCTTATCTCCCCACCATTGTCTTAGTCTTGAATTTCTTCTCTTGATTCTGCTGCTTGTCTGGTCCTTGGTGGCCCCTCATTCACTCTGCATTTCTATTCAAGCTGTGTCTTCTACCTTGAACTCTCAAACCCCGCAGATCCATATGCCTGGCTTGCAGTTAGTTCATATCTCTACTCAAAATGGGGGAACCTACCCTGAGCACTTCTTTCAGAAACAGCCGTGCCATTGCCTCTACCTCCATTCAACATCCCGCCCCGCCCCAGCCCACTTTATATTCTCATAGCATTTATCCCCTGGGACATTATGTTTTCTCCCCCTGCAGGGCAGGGGAAGCTGCATGGGGGCAGGGTCTTCATTTGTCACCAGTGATCACAAGAGTACCTGGCACATAATGGGTGCTCAGAATAGACTGAAAGAGGTAGGGTTTCTGAGTCAAAGAGGATGGACTTTTGTGTTTCAGTCTTTTGAGACATTGTTAAGTTGTTCTCTGGAAAGGTTGTGCAGTTAAAATTCCCTTCAGCCCTGGAAGCTTTTTATTTATTTATTTATTTATTTATTTATTTATTTATGGCCATGTTGGGTCTTCATTGCTGTGCACGGGCTTTCTCTAGTTGCGGCGAGCGGGGGCTACTCTTCGTTGTGGTGCGCGGCTTCTCATTGCGGTGGCTTCTCTTGCTGTGGAGCACGGGCTCTAGGCACGTTTGCTTCAGTAGTTGTGGCACGCGGGCTCAGTAGTTGTGGCGCACGGGCTTAGTTGCTCCGCGGCATGTGGGATCCTCCCAGACCAGGGCTCAAACCCATGTCCCCTGCATTGGCAGGCAGATTCTTAACCACTGCGCCACCAGGGAAGTCCTGGAAACTTTCTACATACAATAAAGAGTGTTAAACGTAGCCACTTATTTATTACTTATTTTTGTTGTTGCAAATAATTTTCTCATTCTGACGGCTTTTTGACTTGCTTGTGAGGTCTGTTGGAAGACAGAAGCTGAAGGTTGCTATATGTTTCCATCTGTCTGTCTTTTTGTGACTTCTGGAAAGCCCTGGCAGTTCCTGAACTCCAGTGTGACTCAGGGGGCTTTCTGCGTTTGTCTCCCTTTCCTTCCTGATGAAGAAAAGATCACATTATTGTGTGAATTGTCCTTTATATCACTAAACATATTTTTATGTCTGTTGCCATAACAAAACACCACAGACTGGTTGGCTTGAACAATAGACATTTATTTTCTCATAGATCAGGAGGCTGGACGTCCATGATCAGGGAGTTGGCAAATTCGGTTTCTGGTGAGGCCTCCTTTCCTGATTTGCAGATGGCCACCTTCTCTGTGTCCTCCTATGGGCTTTCCTCTGTGCAAGGTTAGGGGGTTGGGGTGGGTGGTGCTCTGGTGTCTCTTCCTCTTCTTGTAAGGACATCAGTCCTGTTGGACTAGGGCCCACCCTTATGACCTCATTGAACCTTACTTACCCTTGGAAATAGAATCGGGGGTGGGGGCTGGGGACAGAGTTCAGTCCAGAGCAGTGCAACTGAGCAGTGATTTGTAGAATACCGACCAGGAGGAATTCTCTGTCTACAACCCCCTTTCACAGACAAGAAACCAAACCCCTCAAAGGGTCAGATCCCTTTTCCGATAGAGCATGGGCCCAAACCACCTGCTTCTGAGTCCATTCCTCTGTTTCCACAGTCCCTCATCTAAGTGAGTCTAGTGTATTTAGGAGCCATTAACTTAAAAAGTGCCTCCTTGAAAGTCTTCTTCAGGGGCAAGGACCCTGTTGTGTTTTTCTTGACATCTTCATTGCCTGAGACAGTTCTGAATCATGCTATGTTTGAGGTAGGTTTGTTGAATTATACGGAACTCGGAACTTTACCATTAACTATAGCAGTGCCCAGGAAAACATTTTCAATGGTGAATCATTTTGAAAAGTTCTCCCTTCCCCCAAATTTCGCCTCCTGACAAGAGCTGCGTGAAGTGTCCCATGTACTGCACCCACGTCACACAAGTGTCGAGGAATCAGCGCATCTGGACTGTGTCTGCAAGCCCAGAGCGCTGCGTTGCATCTATCCCCACTTGAAAATAATTTCTCTCACCTCTATATCGTTTTCTTCTAAAAACTGTCTCTAAATGACTGCATTTCCCCTGAATAAGTTCTCCCCAGTGCATCCTGACGTTGGAGCATGAAAAGGAAGGTAAACGCGTGAAATCAAATGGTGATTGCTAACAATGAAATTTGGGCTCATAAAATCAAGGATATTATTCAAAACTGCGAGGTAAATTAGTCTCATTCATTCTGATGGGGCTAGACTCTGTGGTTGTGTATGCCTTCTTTAATTAACATGCTGAAAAGATGTTCTGATTGGGATTATTAATGAATGCAGGGAAAATTTTTGCTGCTTGTAAGGCTTCTGCCACAGACAGTTTACAGCAACCTCCCTCCACCCCGCCCTGCCTTTTCTTTTTCCACAGATTCCTTACACGGCTTGACAGATGGAGTATTCATCTTTGAAGCAGTTTCCACAGAAGATAGCAAAACCATGCAGGGCTACGATGCTATTGTAGTGGAACAATGGACGGTTCTGGACGTAAGTGTTGGGATTGGCAGTGGTGCTTTTCTTGTTTGGACAGTGATTGTTTTACCCGCTCGCGCCTCTGAGCGTGGCTGCTGCTGGACGTCTCTTTCCTCTGAACGGCAGTTGGACCTCCATACACCCTGTGAGGACCCCTTTCCTCCTTTGGTACCCCTCCTATGCCACCCCCAGTTGGGGGATGGGCCCCACTTTTCCCTTTCTGTAGAAAAAAACACATTGTGTGTGCCGGGTAGAAAAGATTCTTCTTTCATTAATTTGAAAGTGCTAAGTGACATAAGTGAGGCAAACGCATAGTTTGTGGCCCCCGTAATAATTAGAGCATCATCGTTATTGGAGCTAGACTGTATGGCCCCCTCTGACAGGGGGCCATAGAAATTTATATGCCAGAAGAAATCTATATGCATCTGTGCTCTTAACCTTCACAATAAGTCTGAGTACTGTGATTGCTCCCATTTTACAGATGAGGAAACTGAGGCACAGGGAGGTTAGAACACTGGCCCATTAAGTGTAGAAGGCGGTCTTTGAGAAACATTGACCCGCAAGGCCACCAGATTGCTGTGGGCAGAGGAATTCCTCAAGCTGTGTTCCGCTGGGATTTGGGAAAGGGAGAGCTGATTTCTTTCTGAGGTTTGCTGATGTGTATTTTAAAGGCATTTCTGCAACTGTTGAAACATGGACTTTATAGACCAGTCTCTTGTCCACCCAGCATGTGGCATGTTTGAAGATAGGGGACTCATTTCTGAATGCTCTCAAGTTGGCCCTAGAAGGACACAGGGTTGGCGTCACTCCGAGGGGCCCTGCCAGACAGTGGGGGTCTCTGTGCCAGAGGAGGATGGATGAGGAAGCAGCTCTTGGTGCAGAGTGCGGGGCACTGGGACCCACCACACCCTTGTGCCCTTTGGCACTGCAGCCTGTGGCCAGTGCCCCTCCTGGAGCTGGGGTAGAGCGCCCCATGGGCACCATTGCTTAGCCTCTGAGCCTTCAGCCGTTCTGAGGAGGCCTGATGTGGGGAGCAGGGGTGCGGGGGGCAGCCTGCATCTGAGTAGGGATGGGAAATAGCTGCCTGCAAATGTGACAGAATAAAGTCCGCAGAAAAACTGTAATAATCAGAAACAGGAATTCCAAAATCACAGCATCCAGGGCCAGTTAGGTTGGAGGCCAGGGGTCCTGCAGACATAAGTAGTGAGGAAGGTAAGGAGGTAGGTGATGACCTGCTTTGCCGTCAGGCTCCGCCAGTGAGTCCCGCCCGCCATCGGTCCCAGTGAGCCTCCGTGCCCCTAACTGGAAACGGGGTGCAGAGGAAGTGAGGTTCTGTCGAAAATGCAGAGTCCAATGTGGGCAGGTCATGTCCCCCCTGGGGACCCTAAACTTCCACAACTGTAAAATGGGGCAGTCTGTTCACCCAGTCTGCTATGTGTGGTCGATGCAGGATCTCAAGGACCCCGTCCGGACAAGCCCATGCTGGCTGCCCTGCACCCACAAGCTGCAGCACTCAGTTTGCTCTGTGACACAGGGCTGTATCAGCAAGTGATGCGTGGCTGCACCAGAAACAGGTTGCGTGATTTTGCACATGAGATCGGCCACAGGGCCATGGGGACGTGTATAAAATCCCTTGCGGTCTGCACATTAAAGTGGCTGTGAAAGGCAGGCTTTGTGGTTTCCTCAATAAAGATGGTTTGATGGCAATGATCCAAAATTGCCTGAGAAAGTGGTTCTCAAAGTGTGGTCCCAGGACCAGTAGCAGCAGCACCTGGAAGTTGTTAGAGATGCAGGTGCTTGGGCCCCACCCGGGACCTACTGAATGGGAAGCCCTGCGGGTGGGCCCAGCCATCTGGGTTTTAACAGGCTCTCTAGGTTGTTCTGAAGGTTCCTCAGTTTTAAGAACTAGTGTCTGAAAGAACGGTACAGATGCCACTTTCCCCAGATGTCTATGGTTGTGTGATATTTGATGAAAAGGGTGATAGGAAAAGCACCCCGATGATTCGTCTTTCTTCAGCCTTTGAAATATTGAAATTTTAAAATGTGACCTTGATGCGTAACCGGAGGGAACGCCTACTATCTAAAAAGTCTGTGGGAGGGAATTCCCCGGTGGTCCAGTGGCTAAGACCCTGCACTCCCAGTGCAGGGGGCCCGGGTTCCATCCCTGGTTGGGGAACTAGATCCCACATGCATGCCGCAACTAAAAAGATCCCACGTGCTGCAACTAAGACCCGGCACAGCCAAACAAATAAATATATTAAAAAATAAAATGTCTGCGGGAGGGAGATAATGGTTACAAACTCAAGTAAGGACACGGTTGTCATTTTTTGCCCCTGTCTATTTTTTAAATTGTTATTTTTTTTTTAATTTAAGTATAGTTGATTTACAGTGCTGTGTTAGTTTCAGGTGTACAGCAAAGTGATTCAGTTATATATATATATATATATATATATATAAAGTATGTAGAGTATATAAAGTATGTGTATATATATATATATATATATACACACACATATATATTCTACATACTTTATATATTCTTTTTCATATTCTTCTCCCTTATAGGCTACTACAGAATACTGCGTATAGTTCCCTGTGCTCTACAGGAGGTCCTTGTTGGTTACTTATTTTATATATAGTAGTGTGTATATGTTCATCGCAAACTCCTAACTTTTCCCTCCCCACCTTTCCCCTTTGGTAACCATAAATTTGTTGTCTATGTCTGTGGGTCTATTTCTGTTTTGTATTTAAAGTTATTTATATCTTTTTTTAAGATTCTACATGTAAGTGATATCATATGATATTTGTCTTTCTCTGTGTCACTATGATCATCTCTAGGTCCATCCATGTTGCTGCAAATGGCATTACTTCATTCTTTTTTATGGCTGAGTAATATTCCATTGTATATACACACCACGTCTTCTTTATCCATTCATCTGTCGATGGATTTTCATCTTTGTTTCCCAAGGCATCCAGTAAATGCTTCCTGAATTGTGTTGAAAGCCTTTTGGTTCAGCCCAAGGGTAGACCACTGTTTCTTTTTTTTTTTTTTTTTTTGCGGTACTAGGGCCTCTCACTGTTGTAGCCTCTCCCGTTGTGGAGCACAGGCTCCAGACGCGCAGGCTCAGCGGCCATGGCTCACGGGCCCAGCCGCTCCGCGGCATGTGGGATCTTCCCGGACCGGGGCACGAACCCGTGTCCCCCGCATCGGCAGGCAGACTCTCAACCACTGCGCCACCAGGGAAGCCCAAGACCACTGTTTCTTAAACTTGAGCTTGTGTCTATCTGGAAAGCTTTTTAAAAGACACACGTCCAGGCTCTCCCCGCGAGTTTCCTATTCAGCCCACTGTGAGAATCAATCCCTGCCTTAGAGGAGCCACGTGTATGCAGCTGTTACCAGCACAGCCCAGCAGCGTCCAGTCTGAGGTGGGCTTGCCCCTGGCCCAGCAATTGGCAGAGCTCTGTCCGACCCCTGCTCCGACCCACAGACAGCTGCTCCTCTGCATATGCCTCTGGCTGTGCCGGGGGGTGTCTAGCTCCCTCACCTCTGTCCTCGAGACCATCCCCTTCCTCTCCCCACCACCCTTATGGCCTCTGGGGAAGGCCTTTCCTGTTCAAGCCCTGGGCAGCTCCCTCTTGGCTTGTGGTTGATCCTGCTTTTCTGGCAGCCACGCTCCTCCCGGAGCTTCCCAGGGCTCTGACCACCAAGTGTCTCGGACCAGCTTTTTCTCTTTTCTCACAGTTGGGACTGACTTGTCCCTTTTCTGCCCCTTTACTCCTCTGCCTGTTAATATCCTCAAGCTCTGTGTGCAGATGTGCCAGTCTAATTTGGCCACATCTTCCTGGCTTTCCTCTCCCGCGCACCCCAGACCACACGCACACACACAGACACACACACTTTCACAAGACGACCTACCTGGCTCTTTACACCTCTGCAGACAGTGCAGTATGTTGGAAAGAGAATGTGGATTCTCGAGTCGGGCGTGGGTAGGCATCCTGCTCTCTTGTTTCTTGCTGAGTGTATGAAAAGGAAACCACCCCCTCTTTGCTTTTCCATTTTTCAATTGTATAAATGAAGACACGGGTAACAACCTCTTGAAGTCGATGAGAATGAAAAGAGATAACGTATTTAAAAGTTGTGAATGTCATACTTGGCATAGAGTAAGCAAATACTGTTTTCTTGTATCGGTCACCCAGGATCATCAATTGGAAAGATCCTCTGCCTATTGCATTGATCTTGTTCCAAAAGCACAGAGGAGGCTGGGCTAGGGAACCTGTGGAGTCAAATGCAAATAATTGCATTTTTCTCAGTTGGAAACCTATGGCCTAAAATTAAAGGCAGTTGTGAATGGGATGAAAGTCCATCCATAGGGCATATATGACAGGTATTTGGCTTATGCTCTATGAGTGTGACCAGAAAGGGTGATTCTTTGAAAGGAAAGGGGGAAGCTACATAGACGGATAGGTGAAGAAGGGAGAGGCAGAGAAAGGGACCGTCCTCTTCTCTCTGTCTGCACGTCCTTCAGCCTGACCACGCAATGGACTTGGAGGATACCGCCAGGAGCTTGTGAGCCATAGAGCCTCTCCATCCTCATCCCACTCCCTGGACTGTCTTCTAGCTCACAAGTGCTTCCTGTGAAATTTGCCACCAGAATTGAACATAAGACGGTAGGGGAAGCGCTTTGAGTTGATGCTGTTGTCTTGGGAGCTGGTGGGTTAACTGAAAAAGTCAGTGAAAAAGAACCAAAGAAAATCATATTCAGAGGGAAGGATTGGGAGTTTGGGATTAGCACATGCAAACTTTTTTTTTTTTTTAATTTCAAATACATATATAACTTTTCCAAGTCTCCAAATATTTTTTTCTGTTAGTTTCTGCTCTATAACAAAGTGAATCAGCTATACATATACATACATCCCCATATCTCCTCCCTCTGCGTCTCCCTCCCACCCTCCCTATCCCACCCCTCTAGGTGGTCACAAAGCACCAAGCTGATCTCCCTGTACTATGTGGCTGC